ATTCACTTTAGAGGTGTAAATGCGAAAGAAACATACAGATATTTTGGGATGGAAGATGCGGAAGGAGTGCAACAACAGATGATGAAAGAACAATTTAAAAAGGAAGTCACGATTGAATTCAAGGAATAAAGTAATGGCTATCAACAACCTGGCAATTCCAGTCATAAATTATAGCTTTGGTATCATTGAATGGAGACAATCAGAATTACAGCAAATTGACAGAAGAACAAGAAAATTTCTGACTATGGGAGGAGCACATCATCCGAATGCCGATGTTGATCGATTGTTTTCATTCATTCAATGATCCTCTGTAATCCCTTAAGGGACCGTTGAGGCCGATAGTATTCTTCTATCTCTCCAAAATCCTTTTCTTTCCCTCGCCATCTTTATTGAGCCCAATGTTCCAACCCCCGTCCATTCCGTGATATCATCCATCCACTTCCTCACAGGTCTTCCAACTTTTTTCTTCCAGTCCCTCTTTCTCATCAGTACTTTTTTGATCAGTCTGTCGTCTGTCATTCTGCAGATGTGCCCAAAGATACCCAGCTTTCTTTCTTTGACCCTTTCATACACAGTTTTTTGTCTTCCAAGTTGTTTTCTTATGGCATCGTTTCTTATCTTTTGTCTCCAACTGATTCCCAGCAACTTTTTATAACAATGCATCTCGAATGCTTCCAGTTTGTCTTTGTCTCTTTTCTTCAACGTCCAAGCCTCACATGCATACATCAATGTAGAAAACACACACGCTTCTACGATCTTTAACTTTGTTTTTGTAGATACATTACCGTTTTTCAATATTACTTTCAAAGATGCAAACATTCCTCTCGCGGTTGCTATTCTTCTATCAATTTTTTTCAAACAATTATTGTCATCAGTTATGAGGCTGCCCAGATATATAAATTGGTTCACTTGTTCGAGCTTTTCTGCTCCTATCTGGAATTCATCATTGTTTTCACCTGCTTCCGAAATCATTATCTTTGTCTTACTGCTGTTGCTTAGTCCATGGTTTCTTCCACCATCGTCAACTCGATCAGTTTCTGTAGACCCACTGCACTAGATGCTAGCAGATCTATATCATCTGCAAACCTGAGGTCCCTTATCACTCTGCCTCCAATGTCGATTCCCTCAATATTTGCATTCTCTATTTTTTCCAAGGCTCTTTCCAACAGTGCTAAGAACAGTAATGGTGATATTGGATCTCCTTGTCTACTTCCTATGTTTGCTTTGATCCTGTCTCCCAGCTCTGTACCTACCTTTACCGCCATTGTTGACTCCTCATAAAGCCCTTTCAGCACCCTTACTATTTTTGTTGACACTCCCCTACTTTCCAAAGTTGCCCACAAACCTTCGTGCCAGACTGAGTCAAACGCCTTCTTAAAATCCACAAAACAATGAAAAGTTGTTTGACCTCTGCTTCCTGCATCTTCCAACAATAGTCTCAACATCAGGATTTGCTGGACTGTACTTCTGTCCTTTCTGAAACCTGCCTGCTCCTCTCCTAAATGCTGCTCTATGTCTTTCTCCAATCGTTCTTTCAAGATCGATTGTATTTTAGCAGAAATGAAGGAGATAAAAGACTAATAGGAATCGAAGATTTTTTTGAAAAGGCAATTATAAACCTCAACAAGTACATCCTCAAGAAACAAGACAGACTGTTTGCAAAAGATGAAGAAAAACTATTCAATTTATAAAGAAGTACGTATAATAAAAAATCGTCATTCCATAGATAAAAATGTCAGCAAACGAGAATTTAAAAAACGTCTGGAAGATTATCACGTAAAAAGTACAAAGATAAACAACTACATGGTCTATTTTTCAACAATATAGATAAATCAGGAATAGATTTAAAAAAAACATGGCAAGGGTTAAGCAGCTCAGGACTAAAGGTGGAAACCGAAAGTCTGCTAATTGCTGCACTAGATCAAGCATTAAACACAAGATACTTTCAAAAAAGAATACTCAAACAAAATGTTGATGGTCTCTGTAGAATGTGTCCCAAGCATGTTGAAAGCATTAGCCATGTCATGCCTGGATGTGCTGTATTAGCACCAACTAAATATACCAAAATACACAATCGAGTTGCAAGCTATATCCACTGGGTGATATATAGACAGGTTGGATTAGAGACATGTGTAGAATATTATAAACATGAACCTGAGAATGTAACAAACTATATCAATGGTCAAATTTTATGAAACAAGCTAGTTATAACAGATAGAAAAATAGAGGCAAACAGACCAGATATCATTGTTCAAGATAAAAACGATAAAATATGCCTATTGATAGATATATCTGTTCCAGACGATTTAAATGTTTTGCAGAAAGAGATCGAAAAGATATGCAAGTACGAAAACCTTCAAATCGAGATACAAAGAATGTGGAACTTGAAAGCAAAAGTTATTCCGATAGTAGTGGGAACGCTAGGAGTAGTCTATAAAAATTTAGACAAAACTTTAAAAAAATTTCCGGGAACCAGCTCTGACCGAAGTTCAAAAAATAGCATTATTAGGAACAGAGAGCGTAATAAGAAAAATCTTCGGATGAATCTCTTTGGGATCTAGTTGAACCCAGGATTCGCTTTAAAAAACAAGCTGTGAAAACTGGGATAATGAGAACTCTTTTATTTCTTCAAAAGCCAAAATATAAATGAAAGTTACAATTAAATATAGAATGATCAAATATTATAATAGTTAAAAGATTAAAATAATGCTCGTCATTTTGAATGTGTACAAAGGTGATGAAATAATATAAAAACTAGAGTCAAGCTTTATTTCTGTCACAATATATTGCGTAAGTAAACGTTATCGCAGAATTGATTAAGCTAGATCTAAAATCGTCAAGCCAGTTTATTTTAGCTTGAGGTAATTTGAAAGAATTATAAACTCCTATTGGCGAAATTTCAAGTGTTGATTAAAATATTGCAACGTTTAAAATCATTCAATAGGTTATTCTTGAGGTTGTTTTTGTACTTATCCACTTTGTAGTTTCTTGATTTGGTGTAGTTGGTTTCATGATAGACTATTAGTTCCAGTATTTCAATTGTTTTTTTGTACAAGATTGATATGTCTGGTCTGAGCGAGGTAAACAGTTGCGACACAGGGCGGATTGATTTCTCTTCGATATCCCCAAAAATGATTGCTCCAGGCTCGATGGATGATTTGATGTGGTTTAAGATGATGGCAAGTATTTTATTGTGACGATTTAAGTATTTAGCGAGTGCAAATAGCGAACCACAGTTTGATACTACATGCTTATTTGTTTCCTTGGCGTTACAGGGAGAGCATGCGGCGTTGTTTGTTTTTTCCATTTGACTAGGTTAGCGTTGGTTGGTAGTTGTTGAATAAGATATTTTCTTATGAATTTGTATAAAACATCTGGCAGGGATTTTGTTGCATTAGCCTAACGGATGATTTCTGAGTTGTGAATGTTTTCCTTAATCGACTTTATCAATGTTCCAATGTTGATGGTTGAAGTCATTTTGGTGTTGACGCTGTTTCAGGTAGTTGCACGCCATTTGAATATCGTTGCTCTGGATTTGGTTGTCGACTTTTATGTATTCATTCTTTGACTCCTGCCACAGAACTCTCATTTCTTCACTGGTGTTTATTTTTAAGTGTCCCTGAAGTTTTAATCTCATTAGCTCTGTGATATTTTAGCGTTTTTATGTTTATCCCTCCACTTTTGTATGGCAACGACAAAATTTCAGCAACACAACTACTTACGGGAAGAGACAACCAATCTCTTACAGCTTCGCGTATCAACGGGTCTAGGCTGTTTCCTATCCAAGTTAGCGAAATATCGTACAATCGCAATTGAAATGATAATTGAGACGGAATGAAGCGACGTAGGATCTGAAGTTTCCATTGAGCTGTTTTATTAAAGTCGCTGATTACTTGCAGCATATCTGTTAGTTTCTGTTAAAGTATCTCTTTTTCCTTGACGTTTTTGCACCCAAAATCATAAGATTTACCCAGATACTCAAACTTGTCATTGATGCCCATCTAAGGTATTGTTTCGTCGTCTATTGTTAGCTTCGGCAGAGATTGTTCATATGCGCCATCCCGCTTTCGCATCCTGAATTTGCAACACTTGTCAACTCTTATTTTCATGCCAGACCATTTGCACCCGGTTTGGTTGAGATTGATTAGAGTCTGAGCACCATCAGAGCTGTTTGTTATAATAGCTGTATCGTGACAATCGTGACTAACCTCACCAAATGCATTTCTGAGATCTAGAAGGGTGACGATGGTCGTTCACTGATGTTTCTTCGCATCTTTCATCAGGTGGGTAAACAGATGAGTGTGTTCCGTCACTCCGTCCAATTTTGGATAGAAGCCCTTTTGTGTTAAGGTGTTGATGAAGCTGTTGTTTTCCAGATATTTGTGTATTCTGTTGTTGATGCATGTAGAGAAGATCTTGTAAAGAACCAGTTGTAGTGTTATCAGTCTGAAGTTAGCTGGGTCATTGGGGTCACCTTTTTTATAGTTTATAATGTTGAAGCTTTTTCTCCAACAAGATGGAATCGTAGCAGACCTCCAGCATTCAACTATTAATTGGTGAAGGATTGTGCGCAGCATAGGGCATTTTTTGAAGACGATTATTGAGATTTGATCAAGTGGACAAGGGGATGCTCTAAGTTTGTATTTTCTAATGACTGCTGCTATTTTGTTGTATGCATGAAATTGTTGGCTGTTGCAATGTTGGAACCCAGTTCGGAAGCGAAACTTGTTATAAAATGGGTCGTGGAGTATGTTGTAAAAATATTTCTTGCAGTCATCAATGCTAAATGATGGGGTTAGGCTGTTTGATGGGTTGAACAATTTTTTTGCATGTTGACCAGAATTTGACTTTTAGTTGTTTTGTTATGTCGATATGTTTCTCAGTTTTCGCATTTTTCATTGATAACAGTTTTGTTCTTATTTGTTTGCTTAATGTGCTGATTTTTATGTCAAAACTGTGGTCGTTGCAGCCAAGTAATTTTAACTGTTTTAGGTCCTTTTTCATGTTTTTGACTGTTTTATTAGGGTGTTTTGTGTTGTCGATAAATCTTGCGGCTTTACCGTGCCGTAGTTGGATGCAAAATAATTGTAGATCAGTGATTGGAATGAGGTGGTGAAATTGTTGATGTCGGATACATTTGGTAAGGACGTTCTGTGAAGTTGGAAGTATGTATTGACTTCCGTCCAATGTTTTTGGGTCTTAGGTAGTTTTATTCCAATGAGAGGAGTTTCCATGATATTGCTGTCCACCCTTTCAAGGGATGCTTGTTCGCGTTGTGGTGGCGGTGACAATTCCAAATTTTTGTCAGATTCCTCTGGAGTTTCTAATGCATTCCTAAAGTTTTTAAACATTTTGCAGGAACGTTGGTGTTATTTCAAGCTCTTCTGACCCTTGCAACTCTTACCACAACAACATGGAATGAAATTATAATTAATATTATTTTTCGGTGAGTTGCTTATTTTTCGGTGAGCTGCGTATATTAAAATTGACATTATTATTCAACGTTATTTTATGCACCTCCAGGAGTGTCTACCTACATTTACGAACTCTTTAAAACAATGTGTTGAAATTATATTTAAAAGCAAAATAAAACTAAATAAATATTTAAAAATACATTTTATTAAAACTAGCCTAATCGACAGAATTTTTACGCATCTTTACAAAAATTTTTTATATTATTAAACTTTATAAAACCAAACTAAAGTAGGTAAAAACAGTGAACAGACTAAAATCGACCGACTCTCACGTTTACACGATACAATAATAATAATAACAATAATAATAATAATGAATTGAATTAATTTCGCGTCTCACAATTTTGACGCTGTTTTTTGCCGCCTTGACAACTATCGTTTTAAAAAATTCAAAATTTTTTCGTTGTTTAAATTTTTCATTATAATTTCATGTTTCTTTTTCAAATTTATTTGAATATATTTTTAATAATATTAAAACTATAATAATACTAAATAATAAATTTAATGCACTGACGATGACGGTTTAACGTCGAAATAGATCTATCTGCAATAATTTTGATAAAATGTTTGTTAATATAAATAAAGCTTCAATTTAAACAGACTCAACCTTGTTGATAAAAATTTACTAAGACAATTGAAAAATTCGAATACAAGTTGATATGGAATTTATTACATATTGTCAAGAATTCGGTCTTATACCAGCGTATATACATATATATATATATGTTGGCAATAGACCATAATTTTTACAATATTCTATAAATTCTACCGAATGTTTGGCGTTAATATGTTTGTAGTTCGTTTTTTCNA